TCCTGGAATACCACCAATGCTTTCTCTAGCTTCCCGTTATTGCAAAGACCATCTAACAAAATGTTGTATGTCATAATATTGGGAGGCACACCATCAGAAWCCATTTGTTTGAAAACTTGTTGGGCATTTTCACAATCTCCAGCTTGAAAAAAGCCTTGGATTAGAGTGGTGTAAGTGATTGTATCCCCAACCAATCCTCGTTGAGACATCTCACGAAAGAGTTTCATTGCATCCTCTACTTTCTTAGACTTGCAAAATCCATTTATAAGAGTACTATATGTCACTACATTTGGGGGACAGTCCTTGCCAACCATCAAATCAAACATATCCTTGGCCTCATCAAGGCGATTGTGCATGCATAACCCATTGATAAGTGAACTGTAAGTGATGGTATCAGGATCTACAGATCTGCGGATCATTTCCTCGTATAATTTTTCAGCTTCCAAAAGCTTCCCCTCTTTCACAAACGCATCGATCAACGCACTGAAAGTGACTACATTGGGGGTTATTTTCTTCTCAAGCATATCATTTAGTAGTCGAGCAGATTCAGCCCATCTGCCGTAACTACAAAGACAACTTATGAGGGAGTTGTAGGTAACAACATTTGGTCTAATTCCTTTGGACTCCATTTGATTGCATAGCTTAAGTGCATCATCCACATGTTTATATCTGCAAAGACTGACAATTATTGTGTTATAGATCACAACATTTGTCTCTATTTTCCCTTGTTCCATCTTCTTGAGCAGATTTAAAGCGAAATCAGTATCACCTCTCTTACATATTCCATTTATGACAACACCATAAGTAACCAGATCCGGTTGACAACCTTTCGCAACCATTCTATCAACCAAAGCCACCGCTTCTGAAGCTTTGTTGTTGAGAAAAAGTCCATGGATCAGAGTGTTGAATGTGACGGTATTAGGTTTACATCCCAGTTCAACCATTTGATCAACCAGAGATACTGCATCCGAAATCCTATTCCCATGGCAATATCCATTGAGAAGCRAAGAAAGCGTGACWATATCRGGMTCATAGCCGAGTTTCATCATCTTCCCAAGAAGAGCTAAAGCAAGAGAGAGTTGAGAGCGGCGACAGAAACAGTTGATCAAAATACTAAAAGTATAGAGATTATGTGAAATTCCCATCATTTGCATCTTCTCGCCAAGAGAAATCACAACCTCATACTTCTTCATCTTTGCAATWGYACTCAACARTTTACTGAAATCVACAATGGAAGGCAAAGGACGAGACTCGACCATTTCACTGAACAGACCCATAGCATCATCTAACTTAATATCATGAAGAAACCCATCTCTAATCTTCTCTCTGTAACCATAACTAGCTCCAGAGAAAGCTCGTACCCAGAAACCGCAAATGGAAAACAAGGGAGAAGCAGTTCCAAGGTTACCTTTCATCAGAACAAATCTGTTCGCTGTCGAAAATCTCATCTTCGGGTGATTGGATTTCTTCTAGATCTCTCTGGAAATTTGGATTAGCTCTCACTCTCACAGTTCGTGAAACCTTTTGC